AAAAAATTTTCATCCTTTGTTTTCCTATACTTAAGAATCTTCTTCTTTATAATTAAAACTTTTCTATAAGATTTTCGAATATTGAAAAGTTTGGATTATTATAGGAATCTATAATTTAATCTTTTCCATTAATTATATTTAATATAATAAACTTATTATTAATAATATTAATATTAATGATTTCAATATAAATATATTAAACTATGTTTTTTAATATCAATAATAATATCTTTTCAATTTAAGTAAATATTAATTCAATAATTTTGAAAGGGAATAAAGAGTAACACTTTGTTTCAAATGTAATAAAGATTAATAAGTTTTTCCAAGAAAATCTTTCCTTGGTTTTTTCGTGTTTTGATTATATATAATTTATTGAAATTGATTAAGAATTATAGGTTCTTTGAATATATGTATTTAGGGTTTTGTAATTGGGAAAAATAATCTTAGGTTTCAAATTGGGTTCTCAATATTATTATTATAAGGGTAATTGTTGAATAAAATGAGAAGATTTAAAGAAGTAGAAAGAGCTGTTCTTGTATATTTAAAATAAAAAATTCAAAGATATCTCAGTTTTGGAATGTTGTATCGATCTGCTTCGGACTCGAATAGAGGCGCCGAAGGCGTCATCATTCTCATGAATTTAATAAGTCTAATAAATCCAACAATAATAACCCTATATAGCATCATTCTATATATTGATACCTCAAATGTTAGAAATATAATTAAAATAATTTCAACTAGCATTTTTGATATTTTAATCTCGACTTTTTTTTAATAATGTTACTATTCTAATCTCAATTTGATTTAAATAAAAAATTGATATTTTAATCTTAAAAATATATAATATTCTAATCTCAAAAATCATATTCTAATTATAATATTATATAAAGTATATTAAACATTTATAAACTACAAATCTATAAACTTAAAATCTCTCTTTTAATCTCTTAAATTTATAAATATCTTCCTTTTCCTTTTTCTCTTTATATTTTCCTTTCTTATTTTTCTTACTTTTCTTAATCTTCTTCTTCTTTTTATCCTTATTTATATTCTTAATCAAAATCAAAATGTTAATATCCCTCTAAATTTGAATTATACTAATATTTTTAATTGAAATCAGAATATCAATATCCCTATAAATTTAAATCAAATTAATACTTTTCAAATTAAAACCAGAATAACAATATTTTGAAAATCAAAATGATCTAAAATAGTATATATTAGACCCTAACTAGTACTTTTGACATTTAAGGTATCAATACATGGAATAATACTATATAAGGTTATTACCGTAAATCTAATAAACCCAATAAATCTTATAAATCTAATAAATCTAATAAATCCACTGATTCCTTTTAATAAATCTTTCAATAAATCTTTCAATAAATCTTTTAATAAATCTTTTAATAAATCTTTTAATAAATCTTTTAATAAATCTTTTAATAAATCTTTTAATAAACCTTTTAATAAATCTTTTAATGAATCATTTAGTGAATCTTTTAATAAATCTTTTAATAAATCTTCCAATTATCCCCCTTAAAACTTCTTAATAAAACCTCTTTCTTAACCTTTTTTATGAATCGATTTAATTTTTATCAAATCTATAAATCCATATATTTATCAATCTAAGATTCCTTATCTCTCTCTATAGTTGTACGGAATCTCTAAATCAATCAGAAATATTTATTTAATCCTAGAAAAACTTCAAAAACTCCAAGATTTCAATTCAATTTATTAATAAGATATTTCTTCAATGAAGAACAATTTATTTCTATAAAAAATATATTATCAAAACACCTTCAGTTTACGAAATATTATATTCTGTTTTGATTTCATTTTATAAAATATTTAGTCTTGATTTATTGATTTTATATTCTAACATTTTGATATTTGTATATAAAGTATTCATACCTTCTCTTGATCAAACATATTTTAGAACATATACTTAGTAATAAGCTTTTTCTTGACTCTTTATAGCTAAGAATAATAGCAGCTTTATTAGTACTGTCTTGAGTTACTTTTAATATCATTCGAAATCTACATTCATTTTTATATTATATAGTTTTTAAACTCCGAAAATTGATAAGATTTAAATTCTCAGCTTGAATTAAATTATAGATTTTGAAATTATTAATAGATTTCAGCTTTTCAAAATAATAGGTTATATATTAGCTAGAGCAAAGCAAGTCTCATAAGCACTTTTAATAGTAAATTTAATAATCTAATATTCTTTACTCACTTTTTACTTTTGATTCAAATAGGAATGATTAGACGCACTATTAAATTCCAAAAATCAAATCATTTTAATGATTTTAATAAATTCAATAAACTTAAGAAATCCAAGAACTTCAAGAAATCTAATTAATTTGTTCAATTCATTCAATTCTTGAAATAAATATTAATCTAGATCTCTTTCCCAAACCTCTTCTTAAAATCTCCTAAAACCTTTTCAAAATCGTATTTCCAACATCTCTAATAACTAATCTAATGAGCCTTTTAATTATCCAGCTATATCTGAAGTCTGGTATCACAGTTCAATTGCTTTGGGCTCAGGTTTTAAAAGTTCCGATCATTTAATGGGCAAATCATCATATATATTGAAGTGAATCGACATGATTGAGAGAGAGAAAACTTTGCAAGTCAAGTTCTCTGAGTATACCGAGTTTTCATTATTTTCCACGAAGTATGACAAATCTTAGTGGTACGATCAATGTCCACCGTCGTGGTAAGACAGTATCTGCAGAAAAAGTACCCCTCAAACGCTCCGTCGCCGACTTAAGAAAACTCAACTATCTGAATCCAAGTGAGGTCAGGCAGACTGCGAGTAACCATGTTGCCGCGCCTTTGATGTCTAATATGCACAGCCCAATCTTGTCCATCCTGGCTGCCGCGTAATGTGAAGCAAGAGAAAAACAACCCCTTAAAGCCAAGCAATATCGAGACTATCCAATTGTCAACATCTCGGTTCTGTTCGCATCACATTAGGGTTAAATAGCAACAGCGATGACGCAGTGCTTACCGACAACAATTGACCACAATCACTCCTCATTCTCGACTCCTAGTTCAGCGGCAGATTGATCATCACTTTCTGTCTTGACCCGCTTCGATTGATTTTTGGAAGGTGTTTCCTCATCATCATCATTTTCTGGGCCCTCCTCAATAGAAGCAGCCTTGGACTTGCGTTTCTTGGCCGAGGTGGCAGTAGGGGTGGTGCTGGCGGAAGCAGAGGGGGCGCCGGTGCGAGATTCTTTTCTGATCTTTTGGAAATGTTGTCTTTCATTAATTGGTCAGTCTTCTAGCAAAATTCGTTTGAGGAGGGCAGTAGTAGAGACAACTTTGTTGCGATTCAAGTAAGTCAACTATTATGCCGGTGGAGATATATGGGAGTGATGATTTCAGATGGAACTTCTTTGACTGGTGGTAGACCATTCGAATCAAAGCAAGAATTAGATTCTTTGATATAAGTCAAGTACCACCCATAGACGGTGGATAATTATGATATGGAACAAATTTCTTTACGTACCGGCAAGCCTCTTTGGTAAAAGAATAGCCTTTTTTCTGAAGCCTCTCGGAAATCGTGGGCCATTCAATAGCCTTGAGATTATTTCCTTCGATGATAGCCAACAACAAATCCTTGTCAGCCCTATGATCCCACTGAGAAGGCATGATGGATGAATGAATGAACGAATGAATGCAAGATCGGAAGTTGTTCTTGTTCTTGTTGCCGCTGCTTGGGTTTGCAGATGGATGAAGTTGTAGATTTGGGAAGAAGATAGGTGGAGGATAGAGACAAGACTGAGAGAGATTTTAGAGAGATAAATCATAAGAATGGTGAATCTCCAAACAAATGACATGATTTCTAACAGTGAGTGAATTAAGAATATATCATAAGTTAGGTAGGTAGGGACTCAGAGGGCAACTGTATGCAAGGCCTTGTATTGTAATAGATTCCCCTGAAAGAGTTTTTAGAATGTACCTTATAACTTTAATATTTTGAATCTCAACTCTATCATACATTCAACTATAGGTCACAATTCAACAGCCTTTGATCTTCTTCATATCTATAGGGCGCGCAGCTCAATCTTCACATTCTTTTGTCTACCAAGCTGGGTAGTACTCATGCAACCATCCGATATTGAGTGAAGTAAAGCAAATTTAGAGTGGAAGCAGGGCAGTGAATTAATGCAAATAACCACAACATCTTCAACCATGATTTACAAGTAGCATTATCCAAAGGGAATGAATACAATATTATCTAACATCCCAAAGAGTGTTTGTCCCCATGTCATGCGTGTCACGGGTATTGTTTCTATCATCAAACAATTACTTGGCCATCCTTACGACATCCCTACTTGTTCTGTTCATTCAAGGTACCTTGGCATACGGAAAAAGAAAAGGGAAGTCATCTCATCATTTCCTTGTTTGACAAGTCTTTCAAGCCCTGGGGTTGTATTCATATATCTACCGAAAAGGGGCTCGAGCGATGGTTGTTATCACCGTGCCACATATTAGCAGCTTGAGTACCTTTCTGATATCTTCAACTTCCTTTCAGATCATTGACTGAATACATCCAGCCTTACCATAAGCAATCTTTGTGTGTAGTTCAATAGAATCCCAAATGTTCTTTCACTTCCCTTTCAATAAAACCAGCTTGGAGAATGCACAACTCACCACTGAATTCTACGCACGATTGGTGCATCAGGATGCATATTTCTACAACCCCCCCTCACAAATCCTCACATCCTCCTTTCCAAATATTCACATCACCGTTCTTGCTGCCCTCCAATTTTTGTGCTTCTTCGCCTTGAAAAGAAAGACCCCAAAACGCCAGTTGCGCTCTAATGCATCAGCGAGGAAAGCATCCATACCCATCTATTTACACTGCAAGGCTTCCTAGTCACCCAGTCTATCTTCACTATATCCCCCTTTAGATACCCTGACGACACTCGAAGTTACGTATTTTACGACGCGGTCATCAAAGTGTGAGAGCGAAGCAAACAATGACCAATGACGGAGCTATCAATCGCTTGCTATATGCAATACTCAGTCAAAAATGTCTCAAAGATGTATGAAATTCTCATTGAACGAAATAACTCGTTGTGAGTGAAATACTGACAAGGATTGCACAGATTGATTGGAATAAAGTAGCACATGATCCTATTCTTTCTCAAGAAATTACAAACGGTCACGCTGCTCGAATGCGCTACTCTAGGTTCAAGAAACAAATGGACAATGCAACATCGTTGCCCGTCAATTCCAAGAAGACTGCTACTCCTCGACGTTCCAGGGTCGAGAAGAAAAAATCCACCAAGCGAGAGCCCAAACTCAAAATCCAGAGGGATATTCTCGATAGCGCAAACCTCCCCTTTCACTTGAAGTATGATTCTCAGAACGCTCACACGCCCCTCTCCATTAACATAAGTGACATGGAGACGAATTATAGCAACTCGTTCCCCATACTAGATGTCGCCAAGCGTGAGCCCGCCACACCCATCACTCCCCAGTCAAGGATGAAGACCGAGTCCGACTTCTATATTTCTCTCTCCACTCCAGCAGAGTCCTCCCGTCTCGCAACCCCTTCCTCAATGAACTCACCCACGTCTCCAAGCAGTCCCAAGTTCCCTCCGCCTGGTGTTGTTAGTTTCAACAGTTCCATGAGCAGCACGGCAAGTCTTGATAATCGTATGACGAACACTTCATTCTTTGGTCCGCCTCTTCACAGACAAGCTGGATACAAGGAGTCCTTCGGGACTGCGTATCGAGACGAGGAGCAGAGACATTACTTTGATCCTTGGGCTCAAAGTACCAGTGGGTTTGATGCCACCAGTATCGAGGACATGCATGGCACGTTGTTCAAGAGGGAAGAAAACTACGATGACGGTTCTTATGAATTCTTCTCGAAGTAGAGTTTCACTGAAAATTGGGAACCAGGGGGTCAAATAACTTGCTCAGCTTCACCGTGTAATACTTGCTTGCCGATTTGAATCAAAGTCTTTTATTCTGGGGATTTTGTCAATTTATGCAAATGGACAATTTTCCTCTGATGAATACTCCTATCCGCGGATAAAGCCTAGAATATGAAGATAATACATGTTTGGCTAATCATGCTGTCCCAGAAGTGCAAAATCTCCCTCTTCATAGGTTTGTCAATAACGTAACAAATTTAACAATAGTACAAAGTTCTCAAACGATACATCCTAGACTGTATCATTCATTAATGCAGAAATGAACTCAAGTCATCTTCTTTTACTAATCATGCAATAAGTCAGCTTTTCATTGCTTTCATCATCTTTCACCTCTTCCTTCACTTTGACGTATGGTTCATCCAGTTCCTCATAATTGCAGCTGGGCTTGTAAATTCTCCGATTTTTGAGACTGGCTGGAAAACAGTGGCTGGCCGTCTTTGTGTCGATATTGACGAGACCTTTGGGACGGAACTCATTTCGGCGGCGGGTCTCAGGTAGCCGGTAACCAAGTGTCCGTGGAAAATTGGGGCTCGCGGCACATCCATTGAATCTCATATTGCTAACACTTTCTCTATATATTGGCGTTGTTGTTCTAAAGGGAGCACAAGAACGGCTGCCAGCCTGAGATATCGGTACCATTGTAGCCTTGCTTCCACAAAGCGAGTGCATTGTTGGTATATGGTCGATCAACCCAGAATCATGTTCCAACTTCAACAAAGAAGGACTCTTCATGAGCTCTAAAATAGTGGAGCATGACTGCGAACTGCCGCTTCCTGATCGTTTAGCATTTGTAACGTCAGACATAGGCTGTGATTTTCCTCTTTCATTTCGTGTAACGAGACTCGTCCCCAATTGACAATCTTTACCCTCATCCTTAACTACCGGTGCACCCGCGGACTTTTGTATGGGATACCTGCTGCTCTTTCCAATGAAAGAAAAGAAATACTTTGGATGGAAAGAGGCATTCAAGTTCCCCGACCTGCTCCCTGAGTAAGACTGTATGTAATGTGCCGACATGCAGATATACTCCTCGTGGCCAAATTGCTTAGATATACGTTCCCACGAGTAACCGAGATGACGCGCCCTACCGAGTCTCCTTCTGTCTGACTCAGTCCACATTATACGGCGAGATTCATTCTCATCTTCATCGATCCCGTTCCTCTCTAAGAAATTCTTATATGCCGCAGAAGCTGTCCTCGCATTAGTACCAAATGCCTGACCAATTCTTCCCCATGTCCACAAGATACTCGATTTGCGCATCTTAAGCATATGATGCATCATTTCTTCAACTCTAGATAGAGTCTGATGACGATGACCAGAAAGCTTTTCGGCCCTGTAAAATAGTGACGCCGAACTATGGGGATCGGCCCAGAATTTCTTCTCGTATCTGGCGAGAAATTGAGCCCATGATTCTGAAACTTCTTCATTCCGCCATTCTCTGAAATTGGAAAGGTATGCATCCTCCTGAGAAGAAAACTTTTGTCTCCTGCCACGCGAAGTTGGCATTCTGGATGTGACGGAGTCTGAGCAACGAGTAATATATAGATTATTTTATCAGCAGAATCGTCGCCGCGAGGGATGTATTTCTTCCGCTAGGATCTAATCATCAAGATGAAGATTTCTAAAAGCCATCCTGTCTGTTAGCCATGAATGTTGATGTCTCTGCGATTTGTCAAGAAGGTTCATGCTTCATAATGCGCCCACCAATACTTTTGGGTCAGCGCCAGCAGCAAACTTACAATAACAACGTATGTCTTCCAAAAACTTAAGTGTTGCCCGTCTTCCACGAAACAGTACTTCAATGGTATTTTGTGGTAGAGGCGTATCGATAATTGTGCTATTGATGGTTTCCAACAAGAAAAGAAGTCCACTTAGTACATAAAAGTAGAATTATGTTGCATCGAATAACTGAAGCATCATGTGTCCCAAGAAGGATAAGGAAGAATAGGTTTTAGCACATTATCACATTGATTTTTTTAAAGAAGGAGCGCAGACGCATTCAAAATAACCTGCTCGAAGTGTAGCCTCAAATATGGCAGGAAGAGGGGGTTCGATAGATACTTGCACAGTTTCATTTATGCCTACCATAATGGGAACTGAAAACCATGAAAGCTGGAAGGACGCTGTGGATGGTAATAACCTCGAGGTGTTTTGTGTCCACTATGAAAAGCTCTCCTATGTTCCAGTCCTGAGCTTGGAGAAAAGTGCGATTTGACGCTAGGCAATGTATTATTTGACACACAAATGAAAGGTCTCTGAATAACGCTGGTGGACGTTGGTCACTTAAACAATTTCCAGTGCCTGCTGACTACAATACAGATTGCTTCACAGAGTCCCATACCTACTAGTATCATCAGAATGCAAATTTTCTTTAACGCAAAGATCTAAATAGCATAAGATTTCCTCCTTCCCATACAATACTATGTGCCAAACCTCCGAACGCCAGAGAGGTTACCCGCCTTTAAACGCCACTACCATCATGATATACCTGATTTTACTCCACTACTTATTGGCATCTTTTCCATCCAGCCTCCGTCCTATACTGTCGCCCTTGGCTTGAGGCTCTGGAGCTGGCTCGCTTTTGGCCTCCACCTTCTTGCCGGTCTTCAGTGATTGTCCTTGCCCCGAGAAATAGGGCTGCTTTGCATCTGCATTCTCTTTGTCCTTATCTGCTTGGGTTTTGACTGGCTTGACTTCGTAACCGAAAAAAAGTTTGTTGGGTGGTAATCGAAGAGGTTGAGGACCATTCGTTCTTCGAACCGAGACAGCAGGAGTGTTCGTGCTAACTCCAGCGACAGGAGTTGACGCAGTAGGTGTGGGGGTCTTTGTGCCCTTCTTAGCGCTCAGTTTGTGACCTCCAGATACAAAATTGGATGAGGCCGCTTTTGCGCCTTGTGCGATAGAATTAGACGTTGGTGCAATGGCGTCGTAGTTGATGGCCTGTGCCATAGTTCCTTGACTGTGAAGCATGCCACCTGCAGGCAAGCCGCCGATTGCACTTCTCGGTGTGCTGGTTCCGCTACCATTGCCTCTGACAGGAGTTGGCTCGACATAGCCTAACGGAGCTGCGAAGTCGACCTCAACATCCGTTTCGAGCATGCTAACCCCCATTTTGTCAGTTACCGGTTTGACCTCCAACACCGCAACATCGTAGATAGTATCATTGTAGTGGAAGCTAAAGATATCTCCTTTAGTAACCGTAGAAAAGTCACGAAACGCCTTTTCGAGTACGGCCTTTGGGTTGGAGATGTCGAGAAAATTGACGGATTGAGGTTGGAGTTTGATAAGGGAGGCAGGGGGAAGATCGGTCGATTTGATTTGGATGAGATCTCCAGTTTCAACTCCCAGGGTTTGCATCATCTGGAGTTAGGTGGTTAGATTGAAAAACACACTTCTTTCGATGAGACAGAAAGGGTACGTACCCAGTGTGGAAGATAAACCTTTCCTTCATCCGCAATAAATTCCAGTACACCAGCGTGTGTTAACTTTTGTCCATCGGGATGTTGACTGTTGATGAGCTCGAAAAGCATAGGGTACGTAATGTGTAATCGAGTAAGCTTTTCCAGAGCAGATGGTGGCATAATAATCTTCCCTCCATAATTAAGGTTTTCTCGTTCAGGACCGGGTATCATGACAGTTGGATAGCATCGGTAGTATTCATCGAAACGTTTGGGAGGGCCTCGCATTCCGCGCTGCTGCAACATTTGATACATGGCAGCTGGGTCATCTCCTTCATAAAAGCCCGAGTACGACTATTAATTTCATCAGTATGTGACGGGACATATTGCCTGCGGACCATTTCACATACCATTTTCTTTGAATAAGTAAGATCTGGATCTTGGTATGATGGGTAAAAATCTGTATCGTAAATAACCGAAAGCCTTGAGAATGTTGGTCGAGAAGTAAAGTGCAGATATTCTTGTAAAATTTATTCGCAATTAAATTGTTAGTATGGCCTTTGTAAGTAGATGCAATTTTCGGAGATTGTTGGTGTAGTAGTTAATAAGCTGTAGAAGCTCAAAAGGCTGTCAAGAGATGACGCAGGAACCAGCTCTCTCTCTCGGTTGCTTTAAATGGCGGGGACTTTTAACTCCGAAACCTTAAAGCTTCAAATGTTCCCCAATCCTTGCAAAGAAAGTACTCACTATTGATTTTAGATCACCTATTCATGTTCAAAAATCTCGAAGCTTCTCAATTCAAAGGGATAGCCAATCATCCATAAATTATGTCTTCCAGATACGCAGCTGCACGACCGAAACGTGCTGGTGAAGAATTTGCCCGTTCACATCGGAATGAAGATGAGGATGGCCCTTCAAAGAAACCTAAGTTCGACTTAAGAAACCCATCTGCTTTGGTAGCTGACGAACCGGAGGAAGACGTAGTTTTGGATGCAGATGTTATCGGCAGTCGAGGAACTGGTACCAAAAGAGGAGCGGTTAATATCGATGGTTACGATTCTGATTCTGATAATGAGGGTTTCGACGCGCGTGCAGACGCAAGAGCCAAAGGAAAGAAGGGCGAGGTAAACCTGGCGGAAGCGCTAGATGGATATAGCAAGGAGAAACCTGGTGCAGCAAATGGGAAGACAGATTTGGAGGAAGACGCGGACATGTTTGCAGACTTGGAGGATGAATTTGCGGACGGTGACGAGGACGAGAGTGAATTGAAGGCTCGAAAAAGGGGGAAAGAAGTACAATTCTTGAAGGAAGATGAGATCGAAGGTCAGGTTTTAGGCAGCAAGAGTGGAGGTCATGTATCTGGGAATTTTGCATTGGATCCAAAAGGAAAGTTATCAACGCATGCCATGGACGACCAAGAGAGCAGTGATGACGAAGAAGATGCCGTGTTGGCCGCGCAAGAAGAAGACGTGGACGAGGAAGTTGGCGCCGGCGGATTGAAGAGGAATGCCCCTAAGGTCGATGCCTTCAATATGAAGGCTGAACAGGAAGAGGGCAAATTTGATGCGAACGGCAATTTTGTACGAAATGCAGCGGATCGAGATGCAGTGCACGACACTTGGCTGGAAGGAATTAGCAAGAAGGATATGAAGAAAGCTGCAGAAGCACACGAAAAAAGAGAGGAGGAACGACGGCAAAAAAGGCTCGAGGATGATGCTATGTTACTCTCGGATATTTTACGCACATTAATACTACGACTGGACAAAGCCGAGACAGTTCTCGAAGCACTGGCAAGGCTTGGAAAGAGCCAAGTGAAGATCAAGAAAATACCGAAATGGAAATTAAAGAAGCAAATCCACAAGGATGATTCTATGGATGTGGTTGCTGAGAAGAGTGAAGACCCAGAACAGACCAGGATACGAGATGCCATAAACGCTATTACAGGCGCTGCTGATCAATTGCTCATAAGTGGCCAAACGGATGTTTATGAGCAGGAGAGAGAGATGCTTATACGACAATACCGGAGAGAGACGGGCGAAGATTGGGAAGAGCCACCCGAAGAAGTAGCTATGAATGAAGAGAATGGCCCAGCGCCCACCAAAATGTGGGAATATAGATGGACAGATGGTCGGGACGGGGCTGCCAAACAAGGTCCTTTTGATGGCCCGACTATGGTAGCATGGCAAGATGCGGGCTACTTTGGAGAGGGAGTCGAGTTCAAAAGAGTAGGGGAGGGTAATTGGAGTGGAGTTGCGGATTTTGTATGATTATGACATGATACCCGGGATACAAAGAATTAATGGGCGTAGTAAGTTTGTTGTTACATGGCGAAGTTGGCTTATTTTGCTGCGATAGCGCAAAGACATTACATCGTTCTTGATTGATCACATGAGTTATGACATCTCCATGACATTCACATACCATAGGATTAGTGTATTGCACTATATCTCAGCTAAAGGAAATTTGCCCAGTCCATTACATCTCCGTTATTGCGCCCACTTTTAGTCAGCCCTAATATACAACATAAAGTTCAACTATATGCTTTCCTTGCCATAGCAAATAGGAACAACCAACGCCAAATGATCATACCTAGAACCCTTCAAGCCCTTCGTCATTCATGAAAGTTCCATTGCATCGCCATGACCATTGGTCACTGACAAATTCACACTTCCCTCCTCCCCAATGAGACGTTTTTCAAAGTCTGTAACAAATTTGACGCTACGTGCAGAGTCAAAGAAGAGAGTGAAGCTCCGTTGAACATCTTCGATACCAATTTGCTTGGCCTTTCGCTTGGCACAAATAAGTTGTGATGTGGTAATGAGGTTGCTGGCATATCTGATACCAGTTTCTTGTCCGATTTTAGTAAGTAAAGCCAGTGCATCGGGGGAAACATCGACTTCCTCCTCCTGTGCACGAATGGAGAGGATCTGCTGAATCTCTTCCTTGGCGTATGGATGAGTGCTAACAATGACGACCCGATCCAAGAAATCAAGAGGTAATCCATGGGGACTTTTATAATTGGTGCCTCGAATTCTAGAATTTCCGCGGTTGCTTGCCATTATGACGATTGGTGCGAGCTCATCTTCCAACGCGCGATTGATATACGAAAAGCATTCGATATCCAGCATGTGGACTTCATCGATGAAAAGAACGCCAGGCACGATTTCGGCTTTTCCTTCTTCTTTCCATTCTGCAACCTTTGTGTTGATCTGATCTCGAACCTCGCTTCTGATTTCTCCAGTATCTCCGGAAAAGAGAGCTAAGAAACCTTGCGTTCTCGAATTGATGACATCGATCTCGTGTAAACTCACAGTGTGGACAACCTCTTTGCGCTTTTGCAGCTCTCCGTCAGGGCACTGCAAGAACTTTGTATCTACACCCATTGCATCGTAGTCTCTTGATTTCGCGTACGATCGCCCCAGCTTGGTAATTTTGCCCGAGGATTTGTCAATTGAAATAATATCACCCGCCATGACGCGCTCCTTTGTCATGGAATCGATCATCTTGCTTCCCATGTCGTATATCGTCTCCATGTCTGTGGTTTTGATAGTTAGTTTCCCCTGCTTCGTACCACCCGTTACACTCCTGTCGGTCTGGATCTCAACGACCTCTCCTTCAATCATTTCACTCTCCTCCTTTATGCGCACGCCGATCGATTTTCGGAAGGCTTGAGTAAGGGCTTCAGTTTTTGACATTTCCAGGGAGAAGATTTCTGAAGAAGCTAACATGGTAAATGGTACATCCGAGCCCAGAGATTGTGCCATTCCCATTGCTATTGCCGTCTTTCCAGTACTGACAGACACGTATTAATATCGATTTTCATGACGAACTCTACGATCACAAACCTCGGAGGACCTGCAATCAAAACTGCTCGACCTGCTATCTTCCCTTCCTTGACCATTTGTAAAATGACGGCAGCAGCTTTACGCGCCTTTTCCTGACCTACCAGTCCCTGGGAGGATGCGCGGGGTTCAAGACTATCTGGGTCAACACCTAAACCGCGAATATGAGAATGAGCGGCGATTAAATTGAGCCCGCGCAACTCTTTGCTCTCCGAGACGGTTTGAATTGACTAGAACTTTGTGAGTTTTCATACAGAATCAACTTGGAATGCATTAATCTTACCGCAGCCATGGTGGAGAATTTGCGATTTGAAAGAAATGAATAGGTAGAGGAAAAAGGAATAGTTGTTGATGTGATAAGTTATGATGAAATGCGTGAGGTGGAAGAGAGAAGTTAGTTGAGTTAAGTTAGTTAGTTTGTTCTTTTCTCTTATCTAGTAGATAAAAAAAAATTAGTGTAGGTTTAGGTGTCTGACGAGTGCCGTGGCGCGTTTCTTAAAGCGTTGTCAAGCGTTATCAAGCACTATTGTTATATTTAGATTTAGATAACGTGGTTCATCAGCATGTGGGCCACTTCGAAGATATACTAAAATCAAGGTTTTCTAGATATTTATATCTTAATAATTAATCATTATTTTTAAAAGATTTTTTTTGAAAAACAATAATAAAGATGAAATATTTATTATATTTAAGTTTATTCCTAAATAATCTATTTTAGCTTGAAATTATTATACTTTATATTATAAAAACTCTTTTCCTTTTACAACTTTAAGAGTGACTGAAAGTTTGAAAAAAGAATTAGATTTTTGAAATAATTGAAAAATCAGATTTTATATAAGAGGTTTTTAGAAAATTCTATTAGTTAATAAAGAAAGTAAACGATTACCTATAGACGAATTTTATATATAAAATAAAGTAACTTATATTATTATTAATAAGCTATAAAATAAATAATCAGCTGATAGATACTAGTAGCTAGAGAGGTTAATAATTATTTCAAGCTCGAGTCTCTACTATGAATTCTATTATATAAAAAAGACTTTAATATAAGTATAAAATGAGTATCTTAGTTAATATTACCTATACACCTGCTATATACCGGTAGTACTACTTTGTAAATTATAGGTGAGTAGTAAGCCATCACGCTTAACCAATGAAAACACAGAGGTGAATATATCCAATCGATGTGGAATTCTAGTAAAGAGACAATTCTGATTACCTAGACGAGCTAGTACCACCAGTAGGCAGCTCGTACTAAGTCATTTCAACTCTTAGCTTCACCTTTAAATATGTACTATCCCTGCTAGCGTGAAGACAGAATTCCCTATTAATTTATAATTTATCTAAAAGCGTGTTTACTTTACTTAGATTTAAGAAAGCTCTTACATCTGATTTTCATCTATTTATTCACCTGTATTAATCATCTTTCCTCATACTCTCCTTTTCTCCCCTCTCCTCCCCTCTCCTGTCCTGTCCTCCCCTTTCCTTACCTTACCCTAAACCTTCATTCAAGTCGCCGGGCTGTTTGTTCATTCAAGAATACATACCTAGTATTGCCCACAGGTTTTTTCGAATAGGTCTGAAATGAGAAGGGACTTTTTTTTGATACTAATATCAAACAAGCTCTTTCAACCTCACTCGAAGTAAAAGTAATTTCTAACCACAACCCACAACTAACTTACTTACACTTCATAACCTACAACCTCTCAACCTCTCAACCTTCCACCATCTTCTCAAACTCCACGCTGACGAGGGTAATTTTTGACTTCAATTTACAAGTCTTCCAGTTTTACAGCGCAAGTTTTCTTACCAAGTGTCATCTCGGAGGATTTATCAATGCTGGTATTCTGCTTAGAAAATTCGCTTTCTTGCTCTTTCAATTTAATCTGTGGAAAGTCAGTCTCGCTTTTCAACCTCTTCAATTGAAAATTGATATTGAGTTTCAAGGTTTCATTATCGAGAAGCAAGGCAAAGAAGTACTCTCCTGTCTTCACCAACTATGTCAAGCCGCAAACACTCAGAGGATAGACCTCCTCTACGAGGACCAGCAGGTTCTTATCGTGGTGATAGGCATAGGCCGGCTAAAAATAATGGTACCAGAGACAGGCAGGTTAATGAAGAGGGACATGAAAATCGTAGATTGGATGGAGCTCGCGAGAACAACGACAGCGGCACCAAGAGAAATGGGGAGAGAGCAGATCGAGGGAGTCGCTCTTCTGAGCAGACCAGCTCGATAAACACGCAACTTCCTAAGTCTGATAATCGCTCTCCAACAACAACAAGACCAACGACTGACATTGAATCAGCATCAAAAGGCAAGTACAGTTAATCGTTATCTTTTCAAAACTATTTCAAATTAGATTGAATTGAAAGCCACGGAAAGTCCGAACGTTCACACTAGCTCAAATATTGACAATCCCTGTGAGGAGGGAGGACACTACCGTTCTGTTGAATAATCTTCCGTCATTTTCTTTGTGAAAGTAGCAATAGTTTGTCTTATTTTGAGAGGATGGGGCAGGATGAGTCATTAAAAATATTGTGGTTTTCGCACTTGAGTCTCCATTCTGTTTGACAGAATCAAATTATGCAATCTAGACTAACGAATCATAGGGAGCAATCATCGTGCAGAGGGAAATTCGAATTCCACTGCACATTTTATGCCATCGAGACCGAATGTTACTACGGAAAAATCTGCCGATCCTCTCATCAACTTTTCTAAACATGTTGTCACAGAATCATCTCAGTTAGAATCTCTTATTGATGCGTTGATGCAATTCGCCGACCAAGCGGACTCTAGGAGTGTGTTAAATCAAGTACGAAACTCGGCCGAAGAGAGTTTGAAACAGCAAGTTGAGGAAATACAGAGGATGAGTCCCATCATGCAGAGCTTCCCTACGCACATGGATGTCCAAAATAAACGCAAAGCTGAGGCAGAAGATGTCCTTACGAAAACCAACGAAGAGCTTGAGAAGGCCAAGAAATTGCAGAAAGATGCAGCTCAAATTATTGCCTCTCGCCTGGTTATCAAACCCCCGTCTTCCTTCGCAGATGACTCGATGTACCTCCAAGAACGTTGTCGGAAATTGGAAGAGAAGGTGAAGGACCTTGAAAAAACGATGACTGCCATGGACCAGAAAGATAAACTCTCAGATATCAACGATCGCTTTCAAGAAAGTCAAGCCGAAAACCGCAAGGTTGTTACCGAGATCAAGAGAAGCGAGGCACACCTTGCAGAAATGATTGAAACCAGCGAAGCCAAGACAAAACGCGAACACCAGAATCTGTCTGACCAACTTACAAAGCTTGACCAGCGGCATCAAGCTACCCGTAGCGAATTTGCTTCACTCGGTCCCCGCTTGGAAAGCCATGAAAATTCCTTGAAAAAATATAACACGTGGATCAACGCATCAGAAGAAAAGATGAAAACGCTCCAGCAGGAGACGGGCAAACAATCCACTATCTTGAAAGCGAAGAGTGATGATATTGATCTCCTTAAAAATAAAGTCACATCCCTCGCAAAGGCATCAGAAATTGACAAGGTTTCCTTGGATGGTTTTAAGTCGTTGAGCCTGGAAAAAATTGGTCAACTAAAGAACGACATAACAAAATTTAGTGAACTCCAGACTGCTCAAAGGGACGTCGCCGAAAAACTTGGAACTTACGAACAGGAACTAAACGCCACGAAAGACGCTCATAAGATCATTCTTAAAAGTCTTGGAACTACTGTAGAGGAATTGAACTTCCTGAAGGACAAGATTGATCGGTTGGAACAGATTCCTCAAGCGCCGTCCACTGCTATATCTCAGGCTCCCTCTAAAATAGCAAGTGGATCAAGCGCAACAATGATTGGGGTGATGCAAACTAGAATTCGTAATGCTCAAGAAGACATTAGGGTTCTGGAGGAAAGAATTGACAAGATCGAAAGCTCTCTTGGATCCCCTAGCCGTGCTACGCCCCAGGAAGATGCGAAAAGTAATGAGCAATTGAAAAGCACTCTGGAAAATTATGAATCTAGGCTGAATGAGTTGGAGAACTCTCTCAAAGAAGTGGATTCTCTCAGCATGAATAAGCCAGTTACGAGAATCTCGCCATTTTCCACAGCAGCGCAGGATATGGCGGATGTCAAGAAAGCTTTTGAACTTCACAAAGAGCAGCGGGAACAAATGGACCAAGTTTTGATTAGGCGCGTCGAGGAGCTCGACAAACAAGTAAAATCTATTCAACGCAATGATATCACTATCAATGAACAGGTTGCAAAAATTCAGTTTCGTATGGATGTATTCGTGCAAGACCTGAATCGTATTGCTAATCGAGTCACTGAAACGAACAATGACCAAAATGCGAATACTATAGCATTGAGGCACCTGCATAGTCGATTCAACAATATATCCACAGATGATCTAGCGAAGAATATGCTACATCAGTTGGAAGTAATTTATCCCGATGTCGGAAATGCAGAAAGAACTTTCTCGGAATTAAGGAAGCAACATTCCAGCCATACCACCCAACTGGAGAGGCTGAAGAGTCAAGTAGTGGCCCTCCAAGACCAATCTGTTCGCAAGCAAAGCCCAACAAATGCAGGCAATGGAGCTACGCAGTCTTTACGCCAAGAAGTGGACTCGCTGACTAAAGGTCAGATTAAGCTCGGAACAACTGTTAAGAAGCTTGATGAAGCTACCACAAGCACTCAAGCTGGGTTAACCACACTCGAACAGTCTTATACAACCTTGAATCTCAAGATTCAAGATCTTAATGGAAAGATCGAGACTCAGCAGAGGAGTTTAACCGAATGGAGTGCGGACCTCATTGAAGCAGTCGGAGACCTGCAAGCTGGCCTAGAATATCTTCAAAAGAGTACTAGCAACGATACCACAGGGCCTGCAGGTGATACTCCTGCGCCTGCCCAGGCTACTCTGCCCCGAGCTCAACAATCTTCGGCCCAAGAAGCGGTGATGAATGGCAAGAAAAGGAAGATGTGACAGGGGCAGAACCCTCAAGACCCGAGAGTTTGACCAATGGCCACACACGGAGCCCTTTGAGAAAGAAAGCTAAAAGAGTCGAGGATGGTGAGGACCTTGAGCAATTGAACCAGAGACCCAACAAAAAATGAAATACAGTTTGCAACTTTACAAAGAACATAAGTTAGTTTTACGAAGCCCACGAGGTCTTGGGTGTAGAAATCAGCGTGCTTAGCGTTTTCCGCTACTCGAATGCGCAAATGAACATGATAAGCTGCAGTCGCTGTAGTCTAAGACTAAGTCTAACTTTGCTTCTCTCTTTTGAAGCAACCTCGGGATAGTTATTACACGCAACTGAAAACGAAGCTAGAGATTAAGAGTGGACTTTATTCAGGGTTTAATATGATTAACATGTATATAAAAAAGCGAATTAGATTTAAAGAATACTAATGAATATAATAAGTTAGTTCCTACTTACGATATTACGAATACGTATATTATTCATTTAATATATAATTCTAATACTCACTTATTTACTTACTTTAATAATCTAGAATTAAAGTTATAGTATTATTAAGAGATAACTTTAATAAGCTTATAATTAGATTCTTACTAGAGTAAAGTCTACATACTTATAAAAACTAACTTTTTATTATAAGTAATGAAGACGAGGAATATAAAATAAGTCAGGAAGAGTTTTTTTTCGAAATAACTCTTTAATTTATATTATATTTAAATTAAGAAATCATTCTATACTCTCTTCTATAATTACTAAATTAATATTTATTTAAATTGAATAATTATTATTATTAGTATAAGAGAGAAGATATATTATATTTATTTAGAATATTCAAAATAATTAATATTATTATTATTAAAGGTTTACCTTCTTAATAATCTTATCGCTTGTAAGAACTAAAGCTATATATATATTAAAAATAAGAAACTCTTACTTAATAAGACTCGATTCAAGCGATCTAATTGATTTGACTTCCTTAATATTATAATATAGTATAATAATCAAAATAGAAACTATCTTTTTCAATAAAACTATCTTAAGTAAATTGAATGAAAACTAACAAAATAGATAATTATATAGATTAAGATAAGAGCTTTTCAATAATCTATTTTATTTATAATAATAACTTCAAATATAGAGCTTATATAAAGGATTGAAGTTTATATAGTATTTTTAAGACTTTTATAATACTAATATAAATATTATATATATATATATATTATTTATTACTTTTTCTAATTATATAAGCCTTTTATAATACTATTAATATTCTATTATAAATAAACTAAGTCTCAATAAGCTTATATTTATATTATATTATTAATCTAGATTATATAACATTGATAATATAATTTATTATTATTATTATTAATTTAAAAGAAGATCAATCAACTTCGTCTATAAGCTTTTAATTCAATTACTATTCAAAATTATATTTTTAGAATACTTTCTTCAAACTTAAATTTACACCCTATTAACGTAAGGAGTCCGAGGGCTCGTAGGCTCCTAATATCAAATAATTACATCAAATAAATTAATAAAAAAGATTTCCTAAAGATTTCTATAATAATTTAAATCTTTCAATACTCAGTAATCTTATAGAAAAGTTTTGTGTACAAAAAAAAAGAGTTTTGAATATAAAAAAATAAAGAAGGAAGATCTCTCTAAAAAGCCTTACTTGTTTTAAAAAATATCTTTAACAAAATTATTAATATATTAAAATGAAACTTTTCTATAATACTTATAATTATTCTATATAAAAAACGATATTCTTTAAATTTTAATATGATACAATTCATATATAAAAAGGCAATCCTAAATTATAATAGAAATAATAATATATTAATATCAATTATATTCTCTTATTATTACGGATCGGCCTCAATCGTAACTACAATCGCTCATATACGCATGCATGTATATACACGATTATATATATATAACTAGTATATAGGTGTGCTTTATAAGCACTTTACTCTCGATTCTATAGTTGTAAATTCTAAGAATAAATTGTATTCTACTTTCACAGTTTTTTTTTTAATAAAGTGTTATATTATTTACAATTCATTATATAATTGTATGGCTATTTGATAATTAATTAAATAATACCTTATAATTTAATACCTTCTTAAATGAATTATACCAATTCGATATTATTTATAAGAAGAAGATTTATTCCGAATAATCTTTAATAAAGATATTCCCCTAAACATACTGAGTTACAAGTATCACTATCATATCCTCTATATTATCTAATTCGGGCCGCGATTTCTTCGCCCTGAAAAACTTATATTGCTTATTTGTCAATCGAATCCCTACATTCGACAACAATTAATTTCAATAGAGTAATAATAATAGTCCTTATAGTTCTAATATAAATACAAATAGATATAGAAAAAGCAAAGAATATGAAAATAACTCTTCAATTAAGACATTAACTCTTGAGGGTAGTAAACCCATATCTACTTTTCCAGATTAAGAAGAGTAAGCATTAATAATAAAAGAATTATAAAACGAAATTACAAAACTCAAAAATAAATTACTATAATATAATCCTGATATTACTTACTCATTTCAATCTTCAAAACAATAATAATAACATTATATAGATTCTTTTACAAATCACAAAGTCTAAACTTCTAATATTCCTATCGATTCTATTAAAAGAGTATCTTTTATTATTAAAAAAAAAAGAATAAGAAAACCCTACATTTACAAAGTTATTCTTTACAATAATCTCTTTCAAATATTAATAGTAGATCCTACTTGTTATTAATTACAATTCCTTATAACTCATAAATTCATTAAACACTCTACTTTTATTTTAATATTATTCTTATAAAAAGATTATATATTTCAAAGTCCATTAATCTCTTATTAAAACTTAAAAATAATATAGAGTTAAAAGTAAGCCTCTAATAGCTATTAATTACTAAGCGACTAGAATTATACATATTATCACTCGTTTCGAAAGTATAATAACAATTTTATATAATAGATCAAATAAAAGAAGAAATATAAGAACATATATTCACATTATACACTCAAGTACCCCGCTTGATAGAATAGCAATTGATTGATTAGTTCGTAGTCATTTATAAGAACCCAACTAAAGCCAATCATATATAAATTGAATATAAATACTAAATAATATATAATATAAAAACTTTTTAATATAATACTATAAGTTCAGATTATTAGTTATACAAACGGAAATCATCACTTAAAAAACGCTTCTTTACAATCTAAAAAGAAAAATATTTGATTTCCTTTAATAAGCTATTAATCTTTATATTAGGAAATATTACATTACTAAGAATCTAATTAAAAAGCTTACAAAAATCAATAAACTTGAAATTATAATTTAAGAATGTAATTGTTATAAAACAATTAAAAAAATATTTTTTAAAAAGCTATTTAATAATATTAATTCGTCAATTATTCCTAGAAGTACTTCCTACTTATTAAATAATTCGAATCTATTTATTCAATCTCAAACTTAATATCCCTCTCACATTTTTATTAACTATACAAAAACTTTTAAGCCAAATAACACTCCATCCCTAAAAAACAGCTTCAATTATAATACTATTACCCCAATATTAATAGTAAATCGCAATTTTATACTACATATAAATAATATAAGCGCTTTAGCCGAAATCCAAGAGATCAAAGATAACGAAAAGTTTTATAATATAAAAAAGAATACCAAGGAGGATATGAACCTAGAAATATAAATGGAAGTTGTCAAATTCATTTGTAATACTGAAAACTAATATTTAAATCAAAGTGTTTAGATTGAAGTTCTTATTTAAATGTAATCCGGGATATAAGATTTCTTGATTTGATAAAATTAATGAAAAATGATTTTATAAATCTATTTTATATACTTTTGAAGAATGGATATTTATATAAAGCTCAATCTCTTATAGATTCCAAAGTGAATGGTTATACTTTTATTGATAAGACATTCCTTATAGTATTATTTCTTATGTTTAAACCCTGCATTTTGCTATTTAATATTATTATTAAAATCAAAAGCTATAATGATGTAAGAGGCAAAGCTATTATTTATTATATATATCTTAATTTTATAATTGACATTTGACAATAGTTATACACATCATTTCTTATTACCGATTTGGGTTTATACAATATGATCCTAAATCATATGTGATTAGCAGAAGCTTAAGTTAAACTAGATTGTTTTAATTAATGTTTTGATTAGTTTATGGAGTATCCTTTTATTATTTTCTTATCAAAAAATATACCTTTAATTAAGGATTGTCTTTAAGCTTTTAAAATCAATTGTTTAAGATAACAAAACGTTGATAATTAGAATGTTTAATTAGACAAGATATATTATCAACTAGATAACGATTGATAAAATCTAATAGCAATTATATTAAAGATATTTATTATCCTTTTTCAAAATACTAGGGAAATATTTTTATTGTCTACCAAAGCTTAAGTTCTAATGAATCTGAAAAAGAAACCTATTTTCCTTAAAATCCCTATCCAAATTATATATAAATCACTACCTTTCCATATCTCCGATATATTCAACATCTATATACTTAAATCGATATAATTTCAACTCATCTATAAGAAGAACAAGAATTATAAGATCTTTACAATTATATATATAAAGATTAACAATATCATCTTAATTTATAAATCTAATTAAAACAATAATTATCGAATCTTAATTATAATTACCTTTTTAAACAATTTCAAATTAAAAATAATCACTATTCTCAATTATATCATTATAAACATTAAAACGAAATTATTAATTCCCAAAACTTACCAACAATATTACTAAACGTTTTTCAAATATAACTCTAATATTCTACCCCCCTCTTGATTATATAATGTTACGACGGCATCCAATATACCGCGTCACATGGTCAGGAAGTCACGTGATGGACCTAGAGGATCTAGGGGATCGAAGAATAAACATCTAGATCCATAGGATCCAGAGGATCCAGATAAGACAGAACTGTAGGTTCTGCAGAGCAGGAAGGTCTATATAAGAGAACAGATTTCATTACAATGTAGAGCTTCGTGCTCAAGAACAATCATTAGTTTCATTACTATAGTTACGAGAATTGCAACCAGTTACAACCTTAT